CAGTGTTCCAGATGTTTCCTTATTTATGGAAACACAGGAAAATCAGTTATTACAAACTGATGGAGGTCTTGCTGAAGATCACAGCCTATGCAGATTAGATTTGGGCTTCTGATTACTGATTATTTTTACAGCACTCAGGAATGTAAATTACCACAGCTTCTACAAAGTATGTAACACAGATGTTTCTTATTCAAAGTGTGTTTCTAAATACTACTAAACTCATTATTAAAGCATTATTTAATTTTAGGGAGAAGGTAAATATTGTTGGAAAAATCTGTCAATGTCCATTAGGCTTGCAGTGACATTTCACATATGTATCGTTTCAAGAGAAGATCAGTGCTTAATTCCTCATTAACACTGAATCATGTTCCAAAATACAGGTTAACATTTATTCACAACAAGCTATGATGAAACAAAGCCAGAGGATTCAGAGGTCACGAGCTCTTGTTCTTGAAGGCTCCGAAACCAAAATCTTGAAGGCTCTGGAAAAATATTGCTCCTAAGAACTCCGTGCACCAGGTCAGCCTTTGGTAGGCTGTAAAGGTTACGTAGTCAGGGGTTAAAATATAGCTGATGCAATAAAGCAGGTAAGGATGATATTTACTCTTAACTATAACCCTAATCATTTCTTAAATAATTTTGTAACTGTTGAGTGCTGTAAATCATTATTTTTTGGTAAATACATTTATCTTTTAGTCTTGTCTAATGATAACATTGATGCTCTAGTCTGGTATTTACCAGGCTATAGCATTATCTTGGGCACTGAGGATGTTCACCACAAGAAACCTTGCAGATTTTTAGGGTAGAGAACTACAACTTCCCACTGTTTCTGGTTAATTCACCATTAAGGCCAGGAACCCAGTTGTAGCTGGATGATACAAATGACTGTGGAGTAGAGACATCTTTTTCTGTGAATGCCAGCTTAAGCCTCTGACAAATAACAAGGCAGTGGACACAAAGCTTGGATATTCTGGTGTGTATTTGAAAGATGAAGTGTGTTCCTGTAACGGTGTCCTATTGTGAAAAGCAGATTATTTCATGATGTTAAAATGGCAAATGTGCATCACTGATGTACACAACTGGAGAAATAATAAGAATTAATTTATTATTTCAGATTTTTTTATTTTAATGTTTACCTTTTGTTGTGATTTAAACCCAGCCAGACAGCTCGTTCACTCACTCCCCCCCTTCTTGCCCTCCCCCTACTCCCAGAGGGACGTAGAGGAGAACTGAAAAGAATGCAACTCCCACTGGTTGAGATAAGAACAGTTTAGTAACCAAGGTATAACACAAGTCACTGCTGCTACCAGCAGTGATAATAATAATGATAAAGGAAATAACAAGGGAAGAGAATACAACACCTCACCACCAGGCAACCGATAACGTGACACCCCCCCCCCCCCCCAGCCCGACCAAGCACTGACTGATACCTCATCCAGCCCCGCACCCCTAACCCTTCTGGGTAAATCCCAGTTACATCCTGAGCATGACGTGCTGTGGTATGGAATACCTCTTCAGTCAGTTTGGGTCAGGTGTCCTGTCTCTGCTTCCTCCCGGCCTCCCCTCCTCCCTGGCAGAGCATGAGGCTCACAAAGTCCTTGGTCAGACTAAAACATCAGAGTTATCAGCTCTGTTCCCAGGCCAAGAGTCAAAACACAGCACTGCACCTTCTACTAAGAAGGAGAAAAATGACTGCTACGGCTGAACCCAGGACATCTCTGAATTTCAATTTCAAAGGAACCTAAAACTGCAACTTGAAATTCAGTCAAGGCTGTAAAGCCCTGCCTTGTTTCAGGTCAAAGGCTTAGAGAAGTGTTGGATTCTCTGGCCAAAGCAAAATCAATTTACTGACAGTCTCCACACATACTTCAGTAAAACTGAATTATCTTGTTCCTTTAAGATCAGCAAAATTCAAACTCATTAAAATCATCACCTATAGTTACAATCCCCACTAATGCAGTCTTGACTCCAACCTCTTTGAGAACTGCTGTTGTATCTACTGCACAAATAATACATTGAGAAAAGAAAAATATATTAAAATATGTAGAGAATACTATTTGTTTTGTAAAATAATCTTGTATGTAAGTAAAGCGGTACTGAATGAGCGCTCTCTATACTTAACACTTGCCTGTCCCACTGAATCATGACATCTGCTAAATTCCATACAACCCACAATGCTCTTTAAAAATGTTTTCAGTTATTCATATACCACACACCAGTGATCATTCTAACACCTCTTCTGTTCCGAAACCACCACAAACATCAGAACTCAAAAGCAGAAGGCAGCACACCAAGAGTGTCTGAGTACACATGGATGCTGCACAAGTAGGAGAGGACAGATAGGGCAGATACCTTTGTAGCAGAGCTGAGACCCCAAAACTCAGGAAAGTGTGATTACAACCTTTGGCAAGCTTCAACAAAACCCCTCATTATTTTCAGCTATACCTAATACTGGAATGTATTCATGTAAATACTGATAGCTATTGGCTGCTCAATAAAGGCAATGTTCAGGTGGATTCAGTTTATAGCTTCAATCCGTAATTTTGTTTTTCACCCATTTTTGTGCCATTAAACTCTATACAACAGAAAGGCTTAAGACTTCCCATATTCTGACAAGATTATCTACCTAGTGAGTAACTTTCTGCTCACCCTTGTTTTGTAGGAAAGATTCCCAAAAGTACAGAAACATACATGCTAGAAACTAAAGTTATGATCTTTAAACACAAAAATGAAACAAAAGCTCAGCTATCTGAGTTAGAAACTTTTCCTGAATTAAAAAAGGCTCTTGAACAGTGTGACTACAAATGACCTGGACATCTGTAATCCCATACACTTTATCCATTCCATAGCTAAAGACAGGAAAATATACTCCAAATCCCCCTTTTGATACTGCAGCCCAGCAGTGCCTTTTGCTTGCTTTATTGCATTATTTTATCCATAAAAGGCAGGTGAAAATCCTATTAACAGAAATGTTCACAGCTCCTTAGATTATTATTTCTTTCCTTTGTAATAAATGTGATTTCAGAAAAGTGATGCCATCCATTTGTCCTTGCTACTTTGCAAGATGAAAGCTGAACTATGTTAGGTTATGCCTTAAAAGCTCATCTGCACACCCACAGAGGAGCATAGACAGGAGCCCAAATAATACTCAGCCAGGCAATCCAGCATTCCAGTGATCCTGGAGGCACCCAGTTGCCTCCAGGCAGCAGCAGCTCTGGAGGCTGGGATCCAGAGCCAGCCACTGGGTTGACCGAGTGCTGAGCTGGGCAGCAGGAAGGATCCACTGTGTGTTGCTATGGATATTCAATTCACCATCCTCACTAGCGCACATGTATCCTGCTCTGCCACACAGGTGAGCAGGCTGAGGCCTCTGGTGCTGTGCACATGTTCATGCTCTATGATCTGTATGCCAGCCATGTACATATAGTGTGTATGGGCTCTGTGGGTACATGCCCACATAGAATAAATTTACAGTCTTGCTAGTGCTTGGATATGGGCAGAAGGCAGATGCAGCAGGTTCACCTCTGCAGCATCCTCACCTCTGGCAGGCTGCTGGATCCAATTTGATACAGTTTCCCCTAAAAAATAATATGTCTTTCCAGAGGCTCACTAGCTAAAATGTACTTAACTGAGCTTCCATCCCTCCATTCCTGCAGTTAAACATCTTAACATGCACAGGAATCATCTTTTCCAACTGGCTGCAACAGATCAGCCAGAGCTTTAAAACATTATACTATATGCATTATATTCATATAGATATTCATATTGTACATAAGATTTGTTTTTTCTTTTCCCTGAAATACTCCCTCACTGTAAATTCTGTTTCCTTTCCCAAGATGAGGCACAACCACAGCGTCACTATGCACATTCACACTTGGTGGAAAAAGGGCTGCCCATGAAATTCGCCCTCCAAGCATTGGTACATAAATCTATACTTTTAATAAACATTCATTTGTCTTTTAACTCCTTCAGATTTACCAGTTCAGTAGCCAGAGCATAGATAACTTTGCTATTCGATACATATATATATATTCATAGTTGCTATATAGAATATATTCCCTCTTACTTTTTTGTTGAAATGCAGACAACTGTGAATTGGCAACATTTTCTCAGTAGTTTGGGTTGGGTTTTTTTTGCTAAAAATTAATTAACTCTGCAATTATCTTTGTAAAATTTGACAAAGCCATAGTTAAGTTAAATGGTAAAGTTACAAAAATCAGTATTTCTGTAAATCCTGGATTCAATTTTAACTTTTCATCTGTTCAGAAGCATGTCTATTCTCTCCTCAATATTTAGAGGTTGTTTGCTACAGAAAAGAAAGGACACAACTAAGGACTGGATATGTTTTCTGTATCTTCTACTTGATTCAGAATAGACTTCATATTTGGAAATCCCACTTCTAGCACACAAGAGAAGAAACAGAAGACATGCCACTGACTCAGCATACAGTGTTCAGAACCTATAAAAGAGCAACTGTACCTTTCTCTTTTCTTTCTGTGCTTTAATAGTGTAGGGCATGCAAAGATCATAGGAAATACACTTATTTGAGAAATTCATATTGACAGAGTAAATAACCTGATTTCAGAATGGCCCAAAATCAGTATATGAACGTTCTCTGGGATGAGCAACCTGAATCAGTGTCTCTCTAGCAGGGAGAGTCATGAGCTCCCCCCAGCAGCTCAGTGCAGATTCTCTGTGTCCATTTGAAACTCTAGTGTGCAATTGCTAAGAACATGTTTCTAAGAGAGTATGTGTAACTAAGACAGCTGTACTGCTCTGGTCCCTTGCAGTGGTGCAGCACAGTGCTACGTAAATGCATCTCCATGTAGACACGGTGGAGTATGAATAAAACAACACCTCCTTTCAGAAAAGGTTTTAGTATATATATATATATATATATATATATATAACCAGAGGAAGACTTTGACTTTTCGTATCAACCAGAAGACACCAGTGTCTTTCCTACTCCACTGTAATTCCAGCCCCCCAGGATGGCTTACAGTTATGACAAGTGGCACCGCTGTATCCAGTTCCATCGCAAGTGCACTTGAAGCTGTCCCACGTCTGAGTGCATTTGCCACCATGTTCACAGTGATTGGGCACACACCTGTCAGAACAAGATGCAAAGACAGAAAGAAAAAAGTAAATGAGCATCAAGATTTACACACAGGCACATTGTGAGCTGCCCGAGCAGTGCATCATGACCTTGCCTGGCAATTAATCCTTGTTATCTCAGGCAGATTAAAAGAATTTATACCTGAACACGCAACTGCACAAAAGGTGCTTCATCCAGGCCTTCTTGCAGACCTTTTACAAACAGTAAAAAAGCACAGTCAAGGTGGAATACATTCACCCATCAAAAATTAGGGTTCTAAAGTACGTTTGACTGGTATTTAGCTGTCAACACAAAATGAACAAAATGCTGTGCAGGCGGTGTCATGCCTCAAGGACTGCAGTCCCACAAGTGACTCAAAGCAAGAATGCGAGTGAATTGCTGTTCATCTCCTTGTTGCCAGCAATGGAAAAAAGTGGAAGCAGACTGCCTGCTGGCTAGGATGGAAATTATTAATGCTGTATTATTAAAACAACTGGCTTCAGTATAGAAGCTGTCCATGTTTCTTCTTCACAGGGATTTGCAGCAAGGGTTGCTCATCTTTGTGCCACCACCTGCTTTGCTGTTGCTGGAGAGTGTAAGGAATGCAAACCCCAAAGTCATAGCAGAACATATTGTTTGAAATATTATCGAAATATGATTTCAAAGATTTGAGTTTGTCCAGTTTCTTTCCTATCAAAGAAAGGTGAAAATGGGAATTGCCATGTTCGCTCACCTTTGAAACTATTAAATTTCTTTTCTTTGTCAGGGCTTTGAAATAATAATTTCAAAGTATCCCCCTTTTTTTTTTCTTATTATTAAATTCATTAGAGTCAGACTCAGTACAGGCTCTGCATTTCTGATCAAGAACTAAAGGAGTTTTTCTTTCAGGTTAAGTTGGCCCAATCTAATTTATGAACTACACTTTTTATTATGATATTAAAAATAAAACCAAGGAGACCCCTTATTAGACAAATAAAAATATTTTCATAAGCACATTATAAATTAAGTATCCTTATTTCCATGATAAATCTGAAGTTCATCATATCCCTGAGGTAATTAAAAAAACTCTATTAAGTAACACCTAAGGACAGGTAGCAGGCTATTAAAACTGAAAGTATCTGGGTGTACCCCCTATTAGACATCTATATCCTCACATTCCAGCTGACAGCATTGGCACACATGACTCAGCTACCAAGAATAAAATATGACATGAAATGTATTAAAGATGAAAAACAAGAACAATAGAATGGCACATTTCTAAACATTCAAATGATTAACAATTGATATGATAAATCCATACCTGGTGAGTACAAGGGTAGAGAAAGCAGAGAGTAGTCACACTTCAAAAATAATCTTATAAAAGTAATTTTCATTCAAGGCTATAAACATCTACAGAAGTTCCTAAATCTGAATATAGTTTGTACTGTTTTCCAGCCTTTCAAAATTACTGCTGCTCACTTATTTTTTTCATTTCCATTTGAACATACATTACTTTAGAAGTATTTTTCCCATGACCAAACTAACCATTTTCTATGTGCATTTCACCAGCTATTTATATGAAGTTTCACATATAATGCTAGCAACTACTTTTGCATTTTACTGTAGTATAACTTATTTTTATTGCAACATAACTAGTAAAGATACTTCATTACTGACTATATAACTGGGGTAAACAATTTAATCTAGGGACATATGAAAAACAGATATTTATCTGTATCATTTAATGCAGCATATTAAGTCATAAAACCAGAGATACTCAGCAAACTCCTTGATGTTAATTTTATACCTAATTTTAGTATGATGGCTGGACCAGCCTAGTCTGCATCTGCAAATTCCCCCTTTACTCATCTTTTTTACCCTGTTTTAAATATGATGCATTTAGAAACAGGGAGTAAAGAATACCTTAATATTAGTGCTAACTGGAGTTTAAATACGACTACAGGATCATTTCCTTATGTGCTCCCTCCGCTTTCAATTTTATATTAGTTTATCTTATCAGACACATTAAGATTTATTCTCTATTAAAGCTATTAGCAAACCTCTAATTTTAGGTAACCAGAATGCAAAAATTACAAAAAGGCCCGCATTTTTAATTCAGCAGATGTATCAAGAGCAGTATTATTTCTCAGTGTGAACTCCATTATCTTTCAAAAACTCTTCTTGCCATAGAGTGATAGTAAGATACAAATACTGGTTAGATAGAAGGTATCTTGTGTATGTATTTCCATACACATCCTGCTAGGAAATTTGAAGTTTTAAAATTCTTTAAGCATATGCAATCATATAGTTTATCTACTTTATGCTTAGCATTTAGTATATACAAAGCATATCCACTCAAAGCCAATGCATGCTCTAATTGCAGTTCATTTGTATAAGACCATATGCATAGGTAATTCAATTCAGGAATCAGGCTACATTACATTAAAAAGACTAATAATTAACTTCCAAACCACCCTTCCCTCCTGAGTCAGGCTCTAAAGTTAGAAGCTGCCACAAAACCGGGAAGAGGAAGTAAGGTCCTAATGACCGAGTTGTGTCCCTTCCAGTTCAAAATATTGCTGATTTAAGTACTGCTGCTTATGAACTCTCGCTGACTCCACATTGAGAACTTTCTTACTCTATGACTCCTTCTGAAAGGCAAGTGTAGAATAGAACTTCATCCCTTTAAGTGTAATACACTTGCTTTTCATTTCCACCCCAAAAATGTACCAGAGAGTTTACAGATGTTGTTTTCTTCAGGGTTTTTATGGGTTGGTTTGTTGGGTTGTTTTTCTTTTTTGTAACATTGACTATGTCTCAAACAACCTTTGTTCTTTGGCATTCACATCTGATGATTTTGCAGAGAGCAACTGAAACCCCTCTCAGCCTGTATTTTAATGAAAACAAGTATCCTGTAGGAAAACAGATTTTCTATTGTTGCTCTTCCTCATAGCTCTGCTCCCACTTGCATTTGTGATCTAATGAGTATCCTGGAGAAGGTTTTTCCAATGTTCTGTGATTTCAGAGTTGATCAATATTTCTGTATTTCTCTACTGGAATTATTTTGCTTGATAAACAGCAATTTTCTGACTAATCCAGAATAGTGGCTCAAAGCCATCCTGAGATCGCTCAATACATTAAATATCCTCAGTACAGTCCCCCATTCTTTTTCTCTTCAATCACTTCCAAACAACAGGCTCCATCTTTATACAGAAATTCTTGCTGCTACTGTCAACAGCATTACTTACATTCTGTAACTTCATCTGAATCTTTCTGCTTATTTTTTGAGGCTGAATCTGTATCATGAGCACATTTCATCATTATATTCCTGATTTTGAGCCAAGGTCAAAGCATTAAATAGGATCAGCTTTGCTACTGATCTCTGAGAAACTCTATCAGACAACAGTTAACCCATCACTGTAAGTTGTAAGACAATTCTATCTGCCAGTTCACAAGTCACTTAGCAATTCCTCTCTCAAACCCCATCTTCCCTAGTTTAGCTAAAAACTTCCATCATCACAGTGTATCAATTGTTTCATTGATATCTGACAAACTAGATCCATTGTGTTTCTCCTGCCTGAGAAGAAACTACTGGGCTTTATTGGAGAATGAGATAGGTTAATCCCCAACAATCAACTGCTGAAAAAGTCTGCTGCATTTTACTCTCCCTTCTATCTACTTCTAGGTATTTGATTATGCTGTCCTCCATTTCTTCAAAACCTTAGTAAGACTACTAAGATCAGATTAATAGGAGTCTGGTTATGTGGACTGATCTCTTTCCATTTGTTTAATTACATTAGGTAAACTCTGTGACCTAATAGCACAAACCCATGCTTTTTGGTTTTGGTTTTCTGGGTTTAAGGGCTACAATATGATATGTTAGTACTAAACAGGGCTATCTTTCCAATTATTATCTAGTTAGTTTTGGTGTCTACCTGGTGCCTGCTTACTCTTTTATCATCCTAAGTGATTGCTATTCCTTCATTCCTCTGTTATTTGCTGATTCAGTAGCAATATTTAATCTGAGAAATATGAGCAATATTCCTCACCAACAGCTGGTATAGACATTGTTGCCTTGCTGTGATAGGACCCAACTCATTTCATCTTAAATATTGTAACAGCATCCTCTAGAATCACTCTTTGTCCAGTCCTCCACAACACAGACTAAAGAAAATGGGCCACATTTCCATCCCTAAATAAACCCCATACCATTCCATTTCTTTCCTGCTGATGTTCAAGCATGCCATCCTTATTAAAAGCATATACAATACTTCTCCAAACCAGCACTTGGAAAACTGTTCTCTTTTTCACTTTACCTGTAGTCAACTCTGGTTAGTTATTTGCAAGAAATCTGTTTTAATGAACTGCTGGTGTTTTAAAACCACAGACTACAACTCTGATATTCCAGCAGGATGAGGGAAAACTGTATGTTCCACATTTTTCATCATTGTGTGCCTAAAAAGACTGTGCACAAGAAATACAAATAGTATATCCATGAACCACAGGGTTAACATTGCCTGAAGCTTTAATACTTTTCCAAAGATGCTATATACAAATATCTAGTAAATCACTCAGCTTCTCCCCACTCCTAGACTGTCCAAGAGATAAAACTGGGAATACACAGATGTCAGATGACAGGGAATAGTCTGTGAGTTCCAGGGAAATCTAACAACCAGAGAAGAACAAAATACCTAGTCTAAGCACCTGCCTCTGCCAGAAACACAGGGACTGCCTGTACCAAATGAATTGGGACTGATATGAGGTGTTTCTTCTGTATGAAGATATGAAACTGGGAGAGGCTACTCTTTTGAGGACTGCAGATTATAAGCAGAAGATATTTTGAGAAACTAGATTGAAATACTGGCATTTAATACAATTAGAGCATGTGAGAAGTCTGACACTGGGATAGCAATGAACAAGGCATGGTGGAAGAGCCTGGAGAGAAAGCAATTCCACAGAAAGGAATCTGGGGAATTCCACACATGGTACTGCGATCCTAAGTCAACCCACTATACTACTGCCAACAAGAAAAT